TCTTCATTGATTCAAATTGCAAAACTTGTGCACTGACTTCACCAGAAAATGTGTTGAATGCAATTCAATGTTTTATCCAAAATCAAATGGCGATTATATGTGTCAGAGTTGTGACTCGACATGTGGAGGTCAGTGTAGTGGCTCGACTGGTGTTTGCACGGGGTGTCTGTCAAATTATGTATTCTCAACAACAAACAGTTTGGTGTGTGACAAATGCTCAACATATGATGCAAATTGTCTGACGTGTGATTCGTCATATCAACGGCAGTGTGTGACATGTAAGACAAGTGGGATGTATCCCGATGAATCAACAAAGAAATGCAAATTGTGCAGTACAACATGCAATGGCAATTGCAATCAAACTAGTGGTATCTGCACTGCCTGTCTGACTAATTATGTGTTTGAAGAAACAAAGAGTAAAATGTGTGTCACTTGCAAAACATTTGACAACAACTGCAAAACATGCAAATCAGACTACACACGAAAATGTGTTGATTGTGAAAATGGGTATTATCCCAACGACAGCGGTATTTGCGTGCCTTGCAACACTATTGATACAAATTGCAAAACGTGCAATTCAAAGATCAAAGAGTGTTTGACATGTCAAGACCCGTATTACTTATCCAGTCAGAAGTGTGTGAGTTGTTCTTCTGGCAGTTACAAAAACACTGAAACATCGTGTGGACAGTGTTACAATGATTTACCCAATTGCCAAACATGTTCAACGCAATCTGTTGGTGTTCCTATGTGTACTACATGCTATTCTCCATATGTTTTAGCTTCTCAATCAAAAACATGTGTGAGCTGCACATCTTCTCAAATATACAACAAAACAACACAAAAGTGCGACAGCAGTGCTATTGGTTGTTTGACAGGATCGACTAATCAGCAGTGTTTGCGATGTGATGGGTCGTATTACCTTTCTGAATACAAATGTGTTGCAACAAACAACTGTAACACCCCATCAACAATATCAAAGGTATCATGTGACTGTGCACACCAGATATCAGTCAACTCGGATTGCAAGAGCAAAGTTTCAAATTGCAAATACCAAAGAAATTACAAAACCCAAAGTGAATGTATTCACTGTGATGACAATTATTTACTTAATGGAGTGACTTGTCAGAAGGTAGCAGTTGGTAATACAATCAGAAACGATGTTGTTTATAAATGTGTCAATGACAATTATCTTGGCTATAACAATCAATGTAACGCATGCAATAAAAACGCTTCTGTATGTGTCAATTACAACAATGTCATTGAAATAATCGCATGCAAAGAACAATATACATATGACGTGGAAAACAAGAAATGTACCAACGACATTTTTTGTTCGAAATATTCAAACGACTTCTGTTCAAAATGTGTTAATGATAACATGGATATGCACGAAGGTATGTGTGTGACTTGTTCAGTTCCAAATTGTAAAAATTGTGAAGGTGGGAAATGTAAAAAATGTTCGAAAAATTATGTGATACAAACAAATGGATTTTGTGTTGAGAAGAGTGAAGTGAGTTGTGTCAATAGTGATGGTCTTCGTTGTTTACAGTGCACTGAAAATTTCTATCCGACCGACTCAATTAATAACGAAGGGAAGTATGACTACTGTTTGCCACTTTCTTTGGCGCAAATAGAAGACTGTAAATATTCGATTATATCTAAATCGAAGTGTGTTGAATGTTTGGACTCTTTTAAATTGAAGAATGGAAATTGTTCTGAAAATTTTGATGATGAAAATGAACAAGAAAACAATTCAATAAACATAAAACAAGACTTGAAAGGTGCAGAGGTATCATGTTTCATAAGAAATAACAAAGGGTGTGAAAGATGCAATGATATATATTACTATAACAACTATGATGGTGAGTGTCTTCTTTGTTTGGCAAATTGCAAAGAATGTTATAATACTACTTATTGTACTTCGTGCCAACTTGGGTATTACCTTTCTTCTACTTTTACATGTGAACCACTTGGCGACCTGTTTACAAAATGTGACTTGACACTTCCAACGGGTGGTGGATGTGCAATTTGCAAAGACAAATATTACAAACAAAAAACTGATTGTATTTCTTGTGATGAATCATGTGAGACTTGTGTAGAGGGTGATTCATGTTTAACATGCAAAGAGGAATACTACAAACTCTCTGGTAGAGAAAATAAATTGTGTGTATCATACGACAATTTGACGAATTGTGATACAAAAACACCAATTGGATGCGTAAAGTGTAATTCTGGCTATTACTTAGAGAATTACCAATGCAAGAATTGTTCTGAAAACTGCATTTCATGTGACAATGCAATAAGTTGCAACATATGTGTAGAAAGTGATTATGTTTTAGTCAATTCACAGTGTGTGTATTTCAAAGAAATTGAATATTGTAAATCTGCTAACAATTCAAAGTGTATTGAATGTGAAGGGTATCACAAACCAAGTGATGCTGGTGATTACTGTGTCAAAGTAACGAATTATGGTTTAGTCGTTGGAATACCGATTTCAGTCACATTAATAGTTATCATTTTAATTATTGTGATAATAATAGTAGTAATTCTTTGGTTGCAAAATCAAAAACAGAAGAAAAAAGAGCAAAATATTTGCAACTTCAAGATGAGTCGATCAAATATTGAAATGATGAAAATAAGTGCAAATTTGGTGTCAAATAAGAAAAAATTGACGTTTGATCTTGACAACAACGATCCACTCAAAGTCGATAAAGAAACAAGGGATTTAATTTGTATTGGAAACAATTCCAAAAACAACTTGAAAGTACAATTTAGTGTGATGAATGGGTGTGATTATTATGAAATTAGAACAGTACCTTCACTTGTATCTCTCAAGCCTGGCTTTGCTTGCGAATTTGAAATATTTATTAAACCGTTGTGTACTTGTACTACCAAGGAAGATGTGATGATCACTTCATTAAATCTTTCAACGGGGATTATTGAAAACACGAAAATACACATAGAAATAGAAACTGAACAAACAACCAAATTGAATTATAGAGAACTTGAAGAAGATAAGAAACTTGGCGAAGGTTCTTTTGGAATTGTATACAAAGGAAAATATAGAGGAAATGTAGTTGCCATTAAAAAGATGAAACAGCTTGATAGCAATGAAAGCGGACTTGATGAATTTGAAAAAGAAGTTGCAATGCTTGATAAATTCCGCAGTGAATATATCATCCACTTTTATGGTGCCGTTTTTATAGAAAGTAAGGTGTGTATGGTCACTGAATTTGCACAATTTGGGTCACTACAAGACTTGATCAAACACCAAAAAAGTGAAGAAATTGATAAAAAGTTAAGGTTGAAATTCTTACTTGATGGAGCAAAAGGTATTCAATATCTTCATGAGAATGGAATTTTACACAGGGATATCAAGCCTGACAATTTGCTTGTAATGTCTTTGGATATCACAGAAAAAGTTAATGCAAAATTGACTGATTTCGGAAGTAGTCGAAATGTAAATATGTTACAAACAAACATGACATTCACTAAGGGTATCGGTACACCAACATACATGGCTCCGGAAATACTCAAACAACAAAAATATAAAAAGTCTGCTGATGTGTATTCATTTGGAATCACCATGTTTGAAGTCATTTCATGGAAAGAGCCGTACTCTAAAGATCAATTTAAATATCCATGGAAAATTGCAGACTTTGTAATGGGTGGAAATCGTCTTAAAAAACTTGAAATGATGAGCAATGAACAATATGATATTATTTCGAACTGTTGGTCTCCACAGATGGAACAAAGAATAACAATTGAAGAAGCCGTTCAAAGAATCGAAAAATTGTTGAATTGATATTTTTATAATTGGAAAGTTTGAATCGTTGTTAATATGGACATTAGTTTAAATCACAGTATAACCTCCCAAAAGCGGGCATTTTTAAAATTAAAACTAAAATAGAGTTTATTATCGAGTGGTAAAGGGATTCATGAGGATTGTTAATTTTTCTGAGGATGGTAAATATCTTAAACATAATTTCTTTCAATTTAGATTTTTTTGCCTAAGATCAAAAAGGTATATTTTGAAACACTTGATTTTCTTTAAAAATGCTATTTATGGATTTTTTGAAAGATGATTCTTCAGTTAATTTTTACAAAAAAAATCTATTTCTATTTTCTGATTTACCACAAGACTAACTTTGGTTTATATGAAAACAATAAAGAGACATTAAAATTATCGAAAAAGTCGATTTTTTAATCAAAATCACAAAACAAATTAATCGAACAATTTTTAATCTTTTTTACAAAAATACAATTTATTATAAATCAATTCATGATATTTCAAACAATATAAATTGATAGCAAATAACGTATTAATAACGTATACTTTATGCGATGACAATTTATGTATTTGCGCAAATTCAAAACGAGAGGTTTTGGATATCAATAAAACAACGATTGAAAAATAAACAAATTTGTGAAATTATTTTTTTAAGTGGTTTTATTTATTTTTAAAAACATATACACACAATAAATATATGTTTATATTATTATTATTTATACAATATTAATTCTCAATAAAAATGTGTCCAATTTATTAATCAATTTTATATATTATTTGGCGTTTTGTTATGTTTTGACGATTTTTGATATAATCAATTAACAAAACTCACTTTATAAATAATCTTTGAAAATAAAATTTTATTTATAGAATTTTAAATCAATAATGGCAGTGCTATACATATCTCTGAGGATGGTAAGTCGTGTAACAAACAGACATTATCAACACAGACTAAAACATCTAAAAAGTGAAATGACGTGTTCCCATATTCAAAAATAGTAACTTACTCAATATACATTTCAGATAGATGTAAAAGTGTAAACTTTCTATTTCTGTCATCCTCAGAAAATAATTGCCATCCTCAGAACTGTATATTTGTTTAAAACACAAGTTAATATCAAAATGAAACATTCTTTTTAAAATATACACAACATGATTAACTTTGTTATTACAATAAATTTGAATAATTGCATAAATTACAAAATTATTAATAAATTTGTTATTTTAAAATCACATTTTTAT